CTTGTGGGCTCCACGGCGCCGGCAGGTCGGCAGCAAGGAGCGGCAGCATACCTCTGATCCAGCTCAGCTCGCGCAACACCCCTGGCCAAAGTCGAGTCGGCCTGGGGCCTGCACTGTGCTGGAAAACGTGCACATCTGAAAACAGAGCAAGACACTCGCGACGAACGAGACCAGCCCACGTAAGATGCCCCAAGAGGATCTCCACCAACTTCCCACTAGCCACCCGCTTCCGAATGACGATATCCAGAGCCCGTCTGAGTCGCCATACGTCATGACGCCGAACCGAGAGTCTCCGACCGCCCACGAGCTCGACCCCCAAGAACTCGGCGTCCCTGGACGCGTCCGACATCTCGTGGACCAGGAGCCCCAAAGTTGCGAGGTGCTTAGCGACGGCGTCACGGCCCGCCTGGGCCCTCGAAGCCGAGCGGCTGAACACGAAAAAGTTGTCGACGTACCCCGCGACGACGCACGACTCCTCATCCTTCAACTCCTTACCGGGCTCCCCGTCAAGGACCATCTGAGGCTGAGGGAACCCAGACACCACCAAGCTGTTGACGAGCACAGTCTGAACGAGATGCATAGCCCACGACCAACCCATGGGAAGCACCGTGAGCACCGGCGTGAGCGGATCTCTGGGGCCCACCGCGTGCCCCTCGCACGTGGACAGCCCGAGATACCCCGCAGCGATGTCAGGCAACGGAAAGTACTCACACAGCTCGCTGGGTAGGCCAATGCGGTAGAAGCAAGCGTCGATGTCCCCGCCGGAGACGCACATGCCCTCGGAACCCGGCTCGACGGAACTGAGGGCTGAAGAGGTGGGGAGTCTCGTGGAAAAAGAGCCCCCCCCCAAAAAAGGCCTGGTATCGAAGATCAAACGCAAAGCTCCTGACTTCTCAGCTACGAAGAAGATCCCCACCCTGGCGCGAGCTGTGCAAGAGCGCCTGAAAGAAATCATGTTCCTCTGAGCGAGGTCTCCTAAAAAGTCGGCGTAACAGAACGGCCTGCCCGTCAGTGCCCTATCCGCGTAGGGGCCGCGCGGACAGGCCTCCGCCACAAGCGAGAGGGCCTCGCTCTCTGGTCTGAGCAGACCGCCGCAGGAGGGCCCCAGCCACTCGCGGTCGCCCTCGGCGAGCAAGTCCAGCAACGGCACGGGCTTGCCAGCGCCAGCGGGCAGGGAGACGTTTCCCTTGGCGTAGGGGCGAGTGCTGGAAGGCTCCCAGTGGCACGGGCCGAAAGCGGCGCAGAGCTCGGCGAGGGCTCCCGCGCCTCCGGGTGAGTCCGCAGGGGGCCCACCCAATTGCAAGAACTGCGACTCGATGTGGGCCAGCGCCGCGCGCTGACCAGCGTTGCCAGCTGATGACGGCTGCTCCGACTTCGCGAACCCATAGGCAGAGTTGAGGGAGTCGATGCAGCTGTTCGCCCAATCGATCGTCTTGGAACTCCTCTGGCGTCGTCTGCCAAAGACGCGGCTGCAGCCAGGCCCGGACCCTCCAGCACCGCAGCGGAGCGTCAGCGGCGGCAGCGGGAACAGGTCACGTTGCCGAGGATCAGGGAGTGGTCCAGCCGAGGAGGAGTCGCGTGCATCGCCAACAAAAGCAGCGCCGGGGTGGCGAAGCCCGGGCAGGACTGAAAAGGCTGGCGGGGGTGGCCCTGTCCTCGCCGCCGGCAGCCCGCCTAACCATCGTCGCCGCCGCCGTCTCTGCCACCCTTGGCCTTAGCCTTGGCCTTCGTGGCAGTCTGGGCGGCGGCGCGTTCTTCACGGGCCTTCCTCCTCTCCTTCAGGATCGCGTGCTCCTGAGCCAGCTCCTGGCTGACCCATGCCTGCAGTGCCGGGCACGCGCAGCAGTTGCCGCGCACCAACTCCGTCCCAAGGTACAGGTGCTGATCCATGCGCACGGGGTCCGCGGCGCCTGCGGTCCTCTCACGATACTTCTCCTCGATGATCTGCACTCTCCTGCCGAGAAGTTCGAAGCTGGCCATCTCGGTCACATTTAGCTAGTCGAAGCAAACGGCATTCTCGAGGGCGGTACAGATTCGCAGGTGCTCTTCGACACCGCCCTCGTTTGTCAGCCTGCAATCGGTCTTCCACCGATGATGGCGCGAGATGGGACTGCCGCCGTTGCCCGCTAGTAAATGGCAGACCCACTTCAGAGTCCGAGGGCCTCTGACCGGCCAGTCGGCCCAGGGCGTCTCCGTCAGCATGGGCAGCGCCTCCGCGAAAGCACGATGTCGCCTAGCCATGGTGTCCACCACGATGGGGTGCACCCTCAGGTCGGAGACCACGCCAGCTCCACCTCCAGCTGGCGGCGGCGCAGGCGGCGCCACTGGGCCAGGCGCCAGGCCGGCCACCAGGGCGCCCGCCACGGGGGCGATCGGCGCGAGCGGCGCCGCAGGGGCGGCCCCCACCAGGGCGCCACCAGGGCCAGCACCCGGCGCCACGACGCCACCAGCCAGCACCGCGGCGAGAGCCCCAAGCCCGCCTCCGACGCCAGCATCCGCGGGCACCGGCGCGAGGGCCCCAGGAGCACCAGCCGCGGCGGCGCCTCCGGGCGCAGCGGCCGCGCCGGCGGCAACCGGCGCCACGCCTGGCATGCCGATCCCAGCGGGTGGTGCGCCCGCGCGACCGACCGTGTTCGGCGCCAGTGGCACCCCCGGCGCGGCGGCACCAGCACCTCCTGCCCCAGCCGGCGCCGCTCCTCCCTGAGCTCCGCCTGGCAGGAGGCACCACTCTGCGGCGTCGCGGCCAGCCCCGAGGTCCTCTTCGTAGCTGTCCCCGTCTGGCGTGTAGCAAGCACACACCGCGCCGGCCTGCTGAGGCAGGTAGACGCACAACCGTTCATGCCAGAGAGGCGGCCCCGGCACTTGGAAGCGCACCAGGTAGAAGTCCCCCTCTGCGAGGCCTGCAATTTCCAGGCCATTCACCGCCATGGGAACGATCTTACCGCAAGTGACGAGCTCTCACCTGCCAAAACTGTTCCTGAGCCTCGCGCTGTAGATCCAGCCCCTGGGCGGCGTCCTCGGGCGACCTGATCGCTGCACACGCACCCGATGCGGCACTGGCACGGCAGCTCGGCGAGCTCCTCGAGCGGCCTAACTTCCTCGAGCTGCCTAACTGCCAGGCGCCGGGCAGCTGGGCGACCGCGAAACCCAAGGCCACGCACACGGGCAGCACAATCCACCCGTACGAGTAGTGCGGCCCGCAGTGCACGGTGGGGCACGCAGGGCAGCTGAAGGCACAGCTGCAGGTCGGGCACTGGCAGGCGCAGTTTGGGCACCCGTGCCCTGCCGCGCGCACAGCTGCGCCTATCCCCACCCCTCGGATTATCTCGAAGAGTCCCTGTTCTAGGAGTTCCATGGAAAGGCGTGGGCTGTCGCTTGAGCCGAACGTTGCGGTTCGGCGTCCCTCCTCTATTCTTCTTGCTTAAACATTGAAATGTGGGGATATATATATATATATATAATACGAACGGCTTGGTCAAACTTCGGCCGAACGTTTGGCCGCTCGGGCGTGCCCGAAAGGCAGGCAGCGGCGGTGATTCGCCGTGGGCGTCTTCGATGTAGGAGAATCAAGCCGTGGCGACGAAGGCTCTCCAGGACTAGCAGCGGCATCGCACCTTTTGACCCTCTGACTCAGACCCCCCCCCCTAAGCCGATCTTCCCCTACCTGCGCTCCCCCCAAACGCTCTCGGCGAGGCACAGCTGCCGGAGAGCACCCCAAAGCTGGAAAACTGCCGAGAACAGACACACATGCAAAAACATCGCAGACAGAAACCCTGACATCTGGCGACATGAAATATTCGACCTGTGGCCTAGAACTCCCGACCCCTTCCCCGTTGTTCGCCATCCACGGGGGTTGATAACGGGCCCCGGAGGCCGAAGCCAAGGAAGACATCCTCTGCGATCTGGGGACCGTCTGCCGAGCGCCCATAGTTTACTCGGGCCTCAGGCGGCCGTTCGGGCACCCCTGCAACGTGCTCGGGGTGCCCCGCTGCCAGAAAGACAATCCCGAGATGAGAAAGTCTCCAAGAGATTGCGGAAACCTTGGAAAACCGTCGCGTATCGCATCCCCGACTCAGTCCCATGGGGCTGGTATTTCGTCCATGGGACTGTTTTCGAAGGTCTCCCGGCCCAGCGAGGGCGCCTGAAGGCCGAACCCGACCGACAACCTGCCGCGCCGACTTGTTTTGTTTCGATATCTGCCAAGCGCCCGAGACGCGTCCCCCTGGCCCCGAGCCGCCGGGGCCGCCGCGATCAAGGCGATGAAATAAGGAACAGATCGGGTTCGGAAAATGGCTCCCGGTGTTCCTCAAGTCCCTCCGTGGCATTCTCCTCTGAGTGATCGATGGTGGTGATGGTGATGGTGATGGTGATGATGATGCTGATGAGGATGCTGGTACTGACGATGTTGATGGCGATAGGGGATGGTGATGGTGGATGGTGGCGGTGGCGGTGATGGTGATGGTGATGGTGGTGATGGTGACGGTGATTGCGATGAGGATGATACTGCGGATGAGGATGAGAAGATGATGATAAAAGTGATGGAGATGATGAAGATGATGCTGATGATGATGGTGGTAATGCTGGTGATGATCATAGTGATGATGATGATGGTAATAATGATGATGCTGTTTATGATGATGATGATGATGGTGATGATGATGATGTTGATGATGATTACTATGATGATGAGGATGATGATGCTACTGATAATGGTTGTGATGATGATGCTGTTGCTGTTGCTGTTGCTGTTGCTGGCGATGATGATGATGCTGCTGATGATGATGCTGATGATGATGATGGTGATGATGATGATGATGATGATGATGATGATGATGATGCTGATGCTGATGCTGATGCTGATGCTGATGCTGATGCTGATGCTGATGATGATGATGATGATGATGATGATGATGATGATGATGATGATGATGATGGTGATGATTTGGCATCTCGTCCCTCGGCGGACCCCCCGAACGAGGCCTGCCCTGCGGGGCGCTGTCCTGCTCGCGGGCGCCCGCGCTCCGGCGGGGTGGGCCCACGGCCAGGCAGGCCGCGCGGGCGGGCCGGCGCCGGCGGGCGGCAGGGGCGAACTCGGAGGGCCAGCCCGAGAGGAGGAGGAGCGGCAGGAGGAGGAGGAGGAGGAGGAGGAGGAGGAGGAGGAGGAGGAGGAGGAGGAGGGGGGAGGTGGAGGGGAGGTGAGGAGGGGGAGGTGGAGGAGAAGGAGGGCGAGGTGGAGGAGAAGGAGGGCGAGGTGGAGGAGGAGGAGGGCGACGTGGAGGAGGGGGTTTCGGCGAAAAATCACGACGGGAGCCCCAGACCCCACCTTTCTGTGCCAACCTTCGAGCCGCATCGATGCCGGGCGAACCCGGCCGTCGCGTGAAGAGAGTGCGGCAGTGCGGCGCCAGGAGCCGAGGGAGCACGATGGGCCTGTTTTCCCCCACCACCACCATAAGCTGGAGGGGGGAAGGAGGTGGATGAGGAGGAGGGGGAGGAGGAGAAGGAGGAGGAGGAGGAGGAGGAGGAGGAGGGGGAGGAGGGGGAGGAGGAGGAGGAGGAGGAGGAGGAGGAGGAGGAGGAGGAGGAGGAGGGGAAACAGGCCCGTCAGAGCACACAGAGCCACTCGCGGGGAGGCTGCGATCGTGGATCTCTTCAGCCACCAGGAATCCGTGGAGAACGTCTCGTGGAGCACACCGGCGGCGGCGAGCCCCCAGGGGGGGGAAGTGAGAAGAAGCGGGCCTTCTCAGAAGGCTCGGCAGTCCTCCAGCCTTCTCAATTTAAGTCGGGCATGTCCCCAATTCCCCCTACACAGGGGGATTTTGGACGAAATATAAACCATACCCCCCAAAATGCCCCCAAATGGTCAACAATTGTCAAACAATCGTCCCCAGACTACTTTTTACCATTTTCGAGTATTCCTCCTGCAGAGGGACAGGCCCAACGTAATTCTCCATTGTCTGAGCCTTTCCCGAAGACAAAAGAACCTCTCAGAAGGCTGGAAGCCTTCGTAGAAGCCCCGCCGCCCTCTGCGAGGGCCTTCTCCTTCTCACTCCCCCGCGCTGGCCGCCGAGAAGCACACCACGTCGCGGAATGTCGCGGATCGTGGAGCGCACCGAGTCATCCGCGGACTTTTCTGCCACGGATCTTGGGGGGCGGAAAGATACGGATACGTGTTGTCCCCGGACCCCTCTTGGGGTGCGTTCTGACCAGAATTTCGAGGCGAATCCAGCGGTGACAACGAGGATTCACCAGGAGGACCAGGAAAGGCCGAAAACGAAGAGGGACAACACGTATCCGTATCTTTTTCTCTCCCGAGGATCGGCGGATCTGCGGAACCGCTGAGGCGGGGGCGCGCCGCAGCCGCGGCTCGGCAGCCCGGCGGTTGGGGGCGGCAGCGGCTGGAGCGGGAGGCCTGCCGCCGAGGGGGGGCAGAAAGCAATCGACGACGACGACGACGACGGCGACGGCGACGACGACGACGACGACGACGACGACGACGACTTCATACGACATACGACGACGACGCGATGACGACGACATACGACGACGACGCCGACGCCGGCGGCTGCACTCAACATACGGCATACGAAAACGACGACACACGACGGCAACGACGACGGCCTACGACGACGAGACCAACGGAGCAGCGCTCTGCCCGGCCCGAGCGTCGCAGGAGGTGCGGATGCCACGGCCCTCCCCTCGCTTGCACCCTCGCGACAGTTTTTTCTCCCACTCCCCCACACACACACACAAACAAGCGAACTTCACACTGCACGTCCTCAGCCGCCACGCGATTCAAAGAATCGCCAGGCGAAGCTGGAGCAGCCCACGAGCCGAACTGCGAGCAGCCTCTCCCGTGCCCTGTCGCAACCCGCGAACCCTCGTCGTCGTCGTCGTCCCCCCGGCGCCCAGTGCGCGTCCCAAGTAGCGAGCCAAACGGACGCCATGTGCCAGCCTCGTCTGTCGCCACTGAGCGCGCGCGCCACTCGTGCGCTCGTTCGCCGAGATGCACTCTGTACAAAATTGGGCGCCCGAGTTATCCGGGGTAACTCGGGTCCGGGGTAACTCGGGTTTGGATTCCCGAAAAAGGAACCCGAGTTAGCCCTGACCCGAGTTACCCCTGATGATTCGGGGCTCTGGACGCCCGAGTTATCCGGGGTAACTCGGGTCCGGGGTAACTCGGGTTTGGATTCCCGAAAAGCGAACCCGAGTTAGCCCTGACCCGAGTTACCCCTGATGATTCGGGGTTCTGACAAAACGAACCGAGCCTTCCGTGACCTGAGGGGGGGAAACGGCCGCGCGGGGCGCCCGCCGCGCGAGGGGTCTCTGCTGCGCTGGGCAGCCACGTGCGCACCCCCGGACCTGCTCAGGTCGCGGCGAGAGCCCGGTCTCTGGCCGTGCTCGGCCTCGTGCAGCCCGACAATTTAGCGATGACTCGCCGTCGCCGTTTGCGGCGTCGCCGCTATAAGAATGTTATGCGCTGTCCTTTCTCCATGTGTCCCTTTCCTCAATCTCGCACTAGCCAGCGCATGCTCCCCTATCCTCCTCAGTTCTTTTACCGAGAGCTCCTCCTGGGAGAGCCTGTGGCGGCCTTGCGGATTTTCTATCCGGTTTTTTCTTGGAAGCCTTCTGGAGGCCTCCTGGGCGTCTTCTGAAGGCCTCTGGATGTTTCCTCGGGCCGCCCTGTCTCCAACCGCGGTCTCCCTGAGCGACCGGGTCACGATTTGGAATGTTTCGGAAAACGTCGTGGGGCCATCTTGGGCCGTCATGAGGCTCTCTGAGGCCATCTTGGAACCATGTTGTGCCGTCTTGTGGCTCTCTTCGACTGCCTGGAAGCCCTTTCGGATGGTCGTGGGGTGATTTTCGACCCTTCCCGGCGGCTTCGGACGCCCAGAAGACCGTCGTCTTGGAGCGTCGGGAAGACGGAAAGAGGAGAACCCCAACAATCATCAAAAACCAACAGAAATCAATGCCTTGTGCCGCTTGGGGCCTTCTTGGGAATGCTTTTGGAAGCCTCTTGGACGTATTGGAGCGATCTGTGGGAGCATGGCGGCTTCTTTGGGGTCGTCGTGGAGCGTTCGAGCGCGCCGGAGCGCCTGGAAGCAGTCTTCGGGGCTCTCGCGGAGTGGCCCCAGGTCGTCTGGAGGTTTGCCCGAGGAGGCCCAGTGTGGGCCAAATTCGCGAGGTGGGGGGAGGGGGTGTTTTTCCCAACCATCCTGTGGTGTTGGGCCCTCGTTTGGAAGAGACAGCGCCCCGCGTTCCTTCCTCCTCCCGCTTCTCCCTCCCCCTCCTCCCTCCTCCTTCCTTCCTCCTCCCCCTCCTTGCCTCTGCTCTCGGCACACTTCTCACACGCTTCGTGGCCCCATAGGGAGCTCCACCGAAGGCCCCAGTTGGGGTGTTCGCATGCGGTCCCCCCACCCAGGGGAGCGCTTCGTGGCCCCATAAGGGGGCTCCACCGAAGGCCCCACTGGGGGTGTTCGCATGCGGTTCCCCCACCCAGGGCAGCGCTTCGTGGCCCCATAAGGGGGCTCCACCGAAGGCCCCACTGGGGGTGTTCGCATGCGGTTCCCCCACCCAGGGCAGAGCCTCGTGGCCCCATAAGGAGCTCCACCGAAGGCCCCAGCGGCTGCTCTCGCATGCGGTTCCCCCACCCTGGACAGCGCTTCGTGGCCCCATAAGGGGGCTCCACCGAAGGCCCCAGTGGCTGCTCTCGCATGCGGTTCCCCCACCCTGGACAGAGCCTCGTGGCCCCATAAGGAGCTCCACCGAAGGCCCCAGCGGCTGCTCTCGCATGCGGTTCCCCCACCCTGGACAGCGCTTCGTGGCCCCATAGGGAGTTCCACCGAAGGCCCCAGTGGCTGCTCTCGCATGCGGTTCCCCCACCAGCGCTTCGTGGCCCCACTTCCACCGAAGGCCCCCCATAGGGAGCTCCACCGAAGGCCCCAGTGGCTCTCGCATGCGGTTCCCCCACCCAGGGCAGCGCTTCGTGGCCCCATAGGGAGCTCCACCGAAGGCCCCAGTGGGGCTGTTCGCATAGCGGTTCCCCACCCAGGGCAGCGCTTCGTGGCCCCATAGGGAGTTCCACCGAAGGCCCCAATGGCTGCCTTCGCATGCGGTTCCCCCGCCCAGGGCAGCGTTTCGTGGCCCTATAGGGAGCTCCACCGAAGGCCCCAGTGTCTGCTCTCGCATGCGGTTCCCCCGCCCAGGGCAGCGTTTCGTGGCCCTATAGGGAGCTCCACCGAAGGCCCCAGTGTCTGCTCTCGCATGCGGTTCTCCCACCCAGGGCAGCGCTTCGTGGCCCCATAAGGAGCTCCACCAAAAGCGGCACCCACAACGCGTTACGAAGAATTGCTTATGGTTGGATCCTTCGTCTGGAAAAATTTAAGGGTCTTTTGGCCAAGCAAACATATATGTATACGCATATATGCATATACAAACACACACACACACACACACACACACGCACGCACGCACGCACGCACGCACGCACGCACGCACGCACGCACGCACGCACGCACGCACGCACGCACGCACGCACGCACGCACGCACGCACGCACGCACGCACGCACGCACGCACGCACGCACACACACACACCCACACCCACACCCACACCCACACCCACACACACACACACACATATTCTCATACGCACCTCTCCGAGGGAGTAGAGCTCAGATGCGATTAATGCGCACGCGTCCGTGATTTTTCTGGGCGTTTCGCTCGGGACATCCTCGAAATTCTGAAAACCGGTGGCACCCCTCACGCAGATCGCGACGTCAGGGTCCAAAACACACATGGGAAATTCAACATTTGAACATAAAACCTTCAAAAACACATGGTAATTTCAATAATTGTGACCCCGACCCAACGGGCCAGAGGCGTGCTAAGATCTCCGGTAACTGGTTAACAATTTTCTAGTTCGCGCGCGCGGGGCGGCCCCTGGGGGTCCCCGGACGAAAAGTACCCCGACCAGGTCCCGGCCGGTCCCCGGCCGGGTCCCGGCCGGGTCCCCCCGAGCGCTCCATGAGCGCACCAACAGGGCTCCGAGACGTCCCCGAGAGCCCCAAGAAAGGCCAAGAGGCCCCCAAGAGGCCCCCAAGATGGTACACGAGGGGTCCGACATGCCACAAGATCGCTCCAAGACGCCCAAGATAGCCCCCAGACGCCCCAAGAGGCCTCCAAGAGCACTCCCAATAGGGCCCCCGGAGGCAAAAATCATTGTTTTTCCATAGGTTTTTGAGAGATTTTGGAGCTTCCACCTTTTCGGCTTCCCGACGCCCCAAGACGGCCCAAGAGGCCCCCAAGATCGCCCCAAGAGGGCCCAAGAGGCACCCAAGAGGGCCCCAAGATGGCCCAAGAGGGCTCGAAGACGGCCCAAGAAGCCTCCAAAACGGTCCAAGAGGGCCCCAAGAACGCCCCCAAAGGGGCCCCAGAGAGGGAACACGAAACAACATTTCGAGCCCTCGGCCCTAAGAAGCCCCTACGAGGCCCCTAAGAGGCCCCAAGAGGCCCCCACGGGGCCCTCAGGAGGCCCCCAAGAGTCCCCCAAGCGGCCCCAGGAGGCCCCCCAAATGCCCCCCCGAGCGCCCCAGGAGTCCCCCAAGCGGCCCCAGGAACCCCCAAAGCGCCGCATTGACACCAGGCCCTCGGGCAAACGGCAGACATGAGACTGTATGGGCCGGCGGAATGAGCGAAGCGATTAAATAATTGTGACCCCGATTCTCAGTGAATGGCGGTGTCGCTTGAAAAATCCTTCCAAAATCGAGCCCCAGACCCCGCCTCGGAGCCTCCTGGGGGCCTCCTGGAACCTCCTGGGGCCTCTTGGGCCTTCTGAACCTTCTGGCACCCCAGACCCCGCCTCGGAGCCTCCTGGGGGTGTCCTGAAACCTCCTGGGGCCTCCTGGGGCCTCCTGCGGCCTCCTGGAGCCTCTTGGGGCCTCCTGAAGCCTCCTGGGGTCTCCTGGGGCCTCCTGAGGCCGCCTGGGGCCTCCTGGGGCCTCCTGGGGCTTCAGAACTACATGCACACAGAGACACAAATCACGCCCAACACATCACACGCTAGACAAACATAACACACACACACAACACCTACAACACACAAAAAGCACGCACCACACGAAGCATACATCACAAACACACACACACACACACACACACACGCACACACACACACGCACACGCACGCACGCACGCACACGCACGCACGCACACACATCACACACACACACACACACAACACACACACACACACACACACACACACACACACACACACACACACACACACACACACACACACACACACACACACACACACACACACACACCACGCACGCACGCACGCACGCACGCACGCACGCGCACGCACGCACGCACGCACGCACGCACGCACGCACGCACGCACGCACGC